ATTTTGTTTTAAAGTTTTACCTACATGGGTCTTTAAAATCTATTTTATTTAGTTGTAAAAATCTTATGTAATAATGGTATTCTCCTATGTAGTCTTTAAAGTTTACAGTCTTGCTTTACTCATTCAAAATTTTTAGTCTACCTGAAATTGTTTTTGGCATATAAAATGAGTTAGGTATCTAATTTTCTCTTTCTACATGAAGAGTCACTTGCAAGAACTATTTATTAAATATCCATTCATTAAATCATTTATTAAAAAGTCTGTTGTGTTCTACTGACACATATTTATGGAATACTATGTGATGTTTTGATCTATGGAAAGTTTAAATCAAGCTAGCTAACATACCCATCATCTCATTTCATCTTCTTGTCATTTTTTCAATAGTGAGGTTTAACATCTATTTTTTTACAAGTTTTGAAATATGTCCTACATTATGGTCATCATGCCATGCAATAGATCCCCGAAACTAACCCACTCTGTAACTGGAACTTTCTTTTTTTTTTTTCTCTCTAAGATTTATTTTATTTATTTGAAAGACAGAGTTACAGAGAGAGGTAGAGACAGAGAGAGATCTTCCATCCACTGTTCATTTCCCAAATGGTCGCAATGAGCAGAACTGGGTTGATCTGAAGCCAGGAGTCAGGAGCTTCTTCCAGGTCTCCTATGTGGGTTCAGGGGCTCAAGGACTTGGGCCATCTTCCACTGCTTTCCCAGGCGCATTAGCAGGGAGATAGATCAGAAGTGGAGCAGCCAGGACTCGAACCAACACTCATTTGGGATGCCAGCACTGCAGGCTGGATTTTTAAACTCACTGTGCCACAGCATAGGCCCTGGAACTTTTTACCCTTTGACTAATACCTCTCTTTCCTCACTCCTTCCCTGCCTCAGTCTATCAATCTACCCATCAATCTATTCTTTATTTCTATGATTGATTTTTTTTTTTTTTAGAATCTACGTGTAATTCAGATCATGCAGTATTTTTCTGCCTGTGCCTGTTTTATTCCATTTAGCACAATGTCCTCCAGGTTTACCCAATATTATTACACATGACAGAATAAAGCCATATGGTGTTCTACTATGTGTATTACCTACACCATATTTTTTTATCCACTCATTTGGATGGACACTTGAGCTGTTTCCATATCCTGGCTTTTATGCACAATGCTCAATGAAATTGGGAGTGCAGACATGCCTTTGATATATCAATTTAAATTCCTTTGGATATATACCCAGGAGTGTATTACTGAATCAATACTGTAATTTTATGTTGTCTTAGTATTTGAAAAATATAAATTTCCCTCCACCAAAAATATATTGACTATTCTTTTTTCTTCATTCATCCAAGTGAAATCTAGAATCACCTTCCTATGAAACCTAGTAGCCAAGATATAATCTGATTGAATGTTGGTTGGAATTGCACTGAATTTATAGATTCAGGGTAAGGCAATTGCAATTTTCAGAAAACTTATTATCAAAATAATAAATTAATAAATAAAGTGCTACTGTACCTCTCTAGAGCTCTTAGGCTTTCTTCCATATTTTTCTATAGTTTTATGCTATTGCCCATAATGGGCTTATACATCTTTTATTAGATTTATTTATAGAAAATTTGTGACTTTTGTTTATTTAAGCATTCTAATTTCTAATCATTGTGTATTTGCATATAATTTTAGGATACAGGTATTTTTATCTACTAATATGTCATACTCTCTTCTTAAATCTTACAGTTTATCTTGAAGAGTTTCATGTATTTCCTAGGAAAGCAATCTTATCACCACATTACCCTTCTTCCTTTCTTGGTCTACACCTTTAATTTCTAATTGTGCTGGCTTGGATCTTCAATAAATGCTTAATAGCAGTAGTGATAACAGGCACCCTACTTTGTTCCTGACTGATTAGAAGCATATCTGTTACAGTCAGGAATAGCTATGCTGCTAATAACTTACCCAAGCACAGGATACAGGGCTTTAGGTTTTTGGTAATATTTGCTAGGATATAAAAGATCCCTTCTGATTCTAGTTTACTAAAACTTTTTTCATGGATAATTGTTGAAATTTATTTATTGACTTTCCAGCATTTAGTGATGGATCAAATGAATCTTTTCTTTTGCCATATTAATATAATATATGATACTACAACAATAGATTTTCTACTAATGCTAAACCATCACTGGCATTTTGAGATCAATCCTACTTGGTCACAATGTGTGTTCTTTTAATTGTTATTGTTTTACATGTTTTAACGTTTGGTTGACTAATACCTTGCTTGGGATTTTTATATTTATGTTCAAAACCAAACTGGTCTGTAATTTTCCTTTCTTGTAATGCCATTTTACACTAACCTCAGCCAATGCATCTAACAGCCTATGGATACAGCTGACATCAATCTGTGTTATATACAATTCTAATGACTTCACTCTTGTTTGGATGAATCCACAACTTATTTAGATAGTTTGTTGGTTTTTTTTTTCTTCTGAAGCAAATTTTATTTTTATTTTGTTTTTCATTGACACATAGTTATTGTGTATTTTACGGGGTAGATACTTCTACACAAATGTATTGCGCAATGATTGGATCATGGTATGTAACCATGTATCACCTCGAATATCATTTCTTCTATTATTATTTACTTATTTGAGAGACAGAGAGAGCTAGAGGTCATATGTCACTCCTTAAAGCCAGACCACCACCAGGAGCCAGGAATGTAATCCAGGTTTCCCACCTGTGTGACAGGGACCAAATCACTTGGATCCACATCAGCAGGAAGCTGGAGCCAGAAACCAGAGCCAAGAATGGAACCAGGTCCTCTGATGTGAGACTCTGGATCTCGGCTGCCTGGCCCCATGCCTGGCCCCCTTTGCTTTGCGGTCACAATGCTCAGAATCTTCTAGTTGTTTTGAAACATATCCTACCACGTTACAGATGGGTCCCCATAAAAGAGGGTGAACATGTCATGGGACCAGTTTTCTAAAGAAGCTGTTGGGTTTTCTCATCTTTCTGGCTCTGTCTACTCTTGGAGAGATTTCCTGGCCAAGTGGTAGAGGGCACTGCTTTTCAGTGACAGCCAGCTCCTTTGCCAGGGGACCAAGGTCTCCTCGGCCCTGAGGAGGGGCATCATCTCAGGACGACCTGCAATGGCTCCAGTCCGGGCTGGTCCTGCCCTTTGGTTGGTGATCTTCTGCACTCTTCCTGCGTGGCTGTCTTGTCTCCGTCCTCACACTCTGCTGTCGCATTTCCTCTTGTTGTCATTCCAACATGAAGGTTTTCTCTGCCTCTGAGGTTCCTGTGGGTCTTGCACTTTCTGAGGCTAAATTTGCTTCTTCATTCCTCAAGGGAGCAGGCTCTTTTCCATAGCTCTAGGATAGATCCAGAACGGAATTCTAACTGGGGCGGTTCGCTGGCAGTCCCACCTACCCCTATTCCTGTCGGCAGCAGCTTGGCTGCTCTCTCAGGCAGGGCAGCCCCACTGGCTCACTGCCATGTCTTCCTAAGGACTCAGGTGTGGCCCTGGAATCCAAGGTCACCTTTCTGCGGCAGAGGATCACTTCTGCTCAGAGAGAGCTCCCTGCTCTCCACTGGTCGCGATTCCATTTTCCCAGGCCCGTGAACAAGGCTTCCCAAGGAAACGTCATTTGTCGCATCCGCACCTTCAGCACCTTAACCTCGTGCTGGCAAACTTTGGCACACACAGCCAGGGGGATGGTGCACCTTCCCTCCCTTGATGGCTCACTGCGACAAGTTCACCCCACTTCTTGTTGCTGGTAATTGAATTCCCCCAGAAGGAAACGGCTTGAGTTCCATGGACATTTGATGTATGGATATTTCTAAGCAGCCTGACTTGGAAAAAATTAAAGCAGTCTCATAGTCCCACTCCCTCAGATCTCCTCACCAGTAAGACCCAGATTTTAATCTGCTCCAGGTGGCTACACTGAGGAAGGCTTCTCTCTCTCAGCATCTTCAATTAATGCCAAGTGTGATGAAAACTGGCAACGTTCAGGGAGTTCTGGCATGATTCAGGGCTGGGAGCATCCCGGCCACATCCTATCTTTTGGACCGCACTTTTCGTAAGAGAAAGCTACCATGATGGATGAGCTCCAGGCAATCAGTAATCCTCTAGACTTAAAAATCGGCTCCATGGAGGAAAAGTAAAGGCAAATTACTCTCCACAGCCTTGAGATTCTTGACCTCAAAAGCTGTGTGCAAACTTTTTTTTGGAGGCCCTTTGCCTTGCAGATAGCTGAAATCTGTATCTGAGTTGACAGAAATTGCCAGATGCTCTTTATCAGGGTGTGTATTTGTTGCAATGCGGCTCGTGAGCTCAGAGGCATTTAAAATTGACCACATTGAAAAGCATCAAAATGCTGGTTTTCAGGAACAATCACACAACTGGACTTTCTTTGCCTGTTTGAGTTCAAGTTCAAGGCCATACCAAGTGGGATATTTCTAGAGGGACAATCCTAGAGTGGAAAACTGTGATCACTTGATGCTCCCTTCATCAAACCATAAAAGCCCAATAGAAAACCTGTAACTGGGCCAGCGCCGCGGCTCACTAGGCTAATCCTCTGCCTTGCAGTGCCGGCACACCTGGTTCTAGTCCCGGTCGGGGCACCGGATTCTGTCCCGGTTGCCCCTCTTCCAGGCCAGCTCTCCGCTGTGGCCCGGGAGTGCAGTGGAGGATGGCCCAAGTACTTGGGCCCTGCACCCCATGGGAGACCAGGAGAAGTACCTGGCTCCTGCCTTCCGATCAGCACGGTGTGACGGCTGCAGCACGCCGGCCGCGGAGGCCATTGGATGGTGAACCAACGGCAAAGGAAGACCTTTCTCTCTGTCTCTCTCTCACTGTCCACTCTGCCTGTCAAAATAAATAAATAAATAAAAATAAACCTGTAACTGAACAGGAACTTCAGAGCAACATAGGAGTCACAACAAATGTTTTTCTTTCATTTTATGGCTCTGGTAAAGTGTGCGTGTTTTTTTTGTTTGTTTGTTTGTTTGTTTGTTTGTTTTTAAGGAGTAACGGGGAGTCAGCACTGTAGCGTAGCGAGTAAAACCACCACCTGCAGTACTGGCATCCATATGGGTCCCGGGTCGAGTTCTGGCTGCTCCACTTCCAATTCAGCTCTCTGCTAAGGCCTGGGAAAGCAGTAGAAGATGGCCCAAGTCCTTGGGCCCCTGCACCCGTGTGGGAGACCCAGAAGGAGCTCCTGGCTCTGGCTCCTGGCTCAGATTGGCCCAGCTCTGGCAACTGTGGCCATCTAGGGAGTGAACTAGTGGATGGAAGACCTCTCTCTCTCTCTCTCTCTCTCTCTCTCTGTCTCTGCCTCTCTGTAACTCTGCCTTTCAAATAAATACATAAATCTTAAAAAAAAAAAGGAGTGACACTTTTGAATTCCACTGAAAACACAAAGAAATCAGAGTTAACAAAGATGAAGGAAAGATCAGTCCTTATGTGTAATGCATCTGGATAAATACTACCAAGATAACAGAGTAAAAAATCTCCTTCAGAAACTACAATGGAGTACAGAATTTTGATGGAGGTAATATCTTGGCTTTTATTACTGATAAGAGGTCATCAGAGAACAAGAAAATAATGTTCATGCTTTCTGAATAAAGTAAAAAAGCTTAGTTCATAGCATATTAAAAATTGCTTTAAATCACTAAAGTTTGTATTTAAATTAGGTTTAAATTTTATTGACTTCAATGCACATTGTTTGAAAGGCTGGAGAAATAGAGTCAATTTTGTTTTATCGCACACATTACATAAAAGTCTTGGTAATGACTTGTTTTATGAGGCTCTCTATCAGTCGAATGTATTGTAAATATCCTACTCCACAGTGTATAGATGGAGAAAATGAACCACATGGAGGCTGACTTCACATTACAACAGCAGTGACGGAATTAAATCCAAGTCATTATCTGCGAAGCAAGAATCTGCCCTCACACTTGAAACCGGGAGCTCTCCCCGTGTGTGCACAGAGAGCAGCTCCAGAAAGGGCAGTTCCTGACCCGGAGAGGGGTCCGTTCTGCTCTGTGGGACAGGCCTTTCCCTTGCGTCCGCCGGGGCCCGTGTCCTGTTCCACTCTGAAGAACAACGACAAAAGACGGATCCCCTTAGCACAGTCCACACGGACTGGCGTCCCAGCAAAGCGAGCAAATGCGAAAGGAAATACACAGAACCAAGCCTCCTTTCACCGGTCCCGTGTCATCATCTGATGCTACCCCAGCTTGACCCTTCCTCCCAGGGTTCCCTTCTGCCCTGCCGGGTCTACCATAAACACACCCCTGCTTTGCAGCTGCAGTTCCTCACGTCTACAACCCTCATGGCCCGTTCCCCAGGCCAGCCACCTGAGGCTTCCACACTCCAGGAGGACATCTGCACCTGGCTCACTGTCTTTCTCTCCAGCCCTGCTGCAGGGCCACCTAGAACTCAGGCCGAGGACTGTGCAACACTTGCACCGCACACTCTTGCCTCCTTCACTAATGTCTTCCTCTCCATCAGATGCTCAGACTGTCTGTGCCAGGCAAAGCACATGAGAGGCTGTGCACAAAGCCTCTTGTCTCAAGCAGCTGCAGTAAAACTACCAGTGGAATCAGGAATCTCTTGATCGCTGGGGTGACAGTTGTTTATGTTGGGGTGTGCTGCATCTGTGACCACGTAGAATTCCCAAACCTCCTGTTAAAAGTCCTTGGTAGAAGCCGGCGCCGCGGCTCAACAGGCTAATCCTCCGCCTTGTGGCGCCGGCACACCGGGTTCTAGTCCCGGTCAGGGCACCGGATTCTGTCCCGGTTGCCCCTCTTCCAGGCCAGCTCTCTGGTGTGGCCCCGGAGGGCAGTGGAGGATGGCCCAGGTCCTTGGGCCCTGCACCCCATGGGAGACCAGGAGAAGTACCTGGCTCCTGGCTTCGGATCGGCACAGTGCGCTGGTGGTGGCGGCCATCTGGGAGGTGAACCAACAGAAGGAAGACCTTTCTCTCTGTCTCTCTCTCTCTTTCACTGTCCAACTCTGCCTGTCAGAAAAAAAAAAAATACCACTGAGTTGGTGCCTGCTGTATGTGATGCAGTGAGTGCAGCAGGATCCCCAAGGGCTCTTCCCACAGGAACTGAGTCTCCTCGGGGACCATCACACTTGACTCAGGTTTATTTGTTGTTTGTTTTCCATTTGTCCCATGGAGTGGGGGTGGCGGGTGTTTATTTTTATCTCATTCCCTGATTTTTTTTGGATTGTGTTTTTTGGTTTTCGGTAATTCCGTTTTTCTCCCAATGTTTGCTTTTTGAGTTATACCTCTTTCTTTTCAATTTTAATGTTTGCTATAGAGGCTAGCTTTACATCTTTAACTAGCTCATTACACCTCTTCCCATATGAAACCTTAAATCATATATATCCACTTACCACACTCTATCTTTGTGCTATTGTTGTTATACAACATATTTCAACATATGCTATAAACGCTACAATATGTTATTACACTTGATCTTAGCCAAGGACCAAGAAGAAATTGCAATGTTATTTATTTTGCTCTTAAACAGTCAGTTTACCTGTTAAGGATTTTTTTGTTGTTGTTTACAAAAAGCTCTTTTACATTTATGCATGAATTTGCCATTTCTGGGGTCTCTTCATTCTCTTGTATAGATCTGAATTTACAACCGGTATTATTTGCCCTGAGCCTGAAAAGCATCCTTTTGCACTTACTGTAGCCCAGGTTTGCTGGCAACAAAGTCTCTCAGCTTCCGGGTTGTTTTTTTTTGTTTGTTTGTTTGTTTGTTTGTTTTTTGGAAAACGTCTCTTTCCACCTTCATCTTTAAAAGATATTCTAACTGGCTGTAGAACTGGCCTACCCCTCCCTTCAGCACTTCAACAACGCCACTCTGCTGACGCCAGGTGGACTCTGTGTCCGGGGAGAAGTCACCGGTGATCTGTTCTCCCACATGTACTGGGACCCTGCCCCCAGCCCAGCCCGCTGACGTCAGCCTCTGCTCCTCAGCATTTGACTACCGTGTGTCTCAGTGTGGACACCGTGCCTATTCTATTTCAGCCTTGCTGGGAGTCTTCAGTCTATGGGCTGACATTTTTCTACAAGTTGGAAATTAATTATTTCATTAAATGCTTTTTTCTTCCTCAACTTTTATCTTTCCTTCTTCTGCGACTATTTGTGTGTATATGAGACTACTGGATACTGTCCCACAGGGCACCGAGGCTCTGTCTATGTTTTTGGGTCCTTTTTTCTCTCTGTCCTTCAGTTTTGATAGCTTCTATTATCTTGGGATTTTCACCAGCCTCTTCCAGCAGTGTCCAGTCTGCTACTAAGCCAACATAATGCATGAAAATTTTAGGTACAACCGCTAATGATTCATTGTTGAATGTGCTACCAAGCATCACAATCCTTTATATATTCATAGAAAAGTATATTCACATTTATCATATTCATTTTCCAAAAAGTGATTAATATATGGTATCTGATAGTATTCAAAAAATCAATCCACTATGGTCATTTTCCATAGCAGCATGTATTTTTCTGCATAATTATATGTTGTTTCAATACATTGAAATTATTATGTTAATTATCAATTAACATTGATGGTATTTTTCTTAACATCCCATTGATGAGCAATGCATTTTCCCCAATATTTGCTATTATCAATACCTTAAAAAAAGCATTCAATTAAAAATATAAAGAAATTTTTATTTCAGATATTTTATTTTCAGCTCTATACTTTCCATTTAATTACCTTTTTATTATTTCTCATTTCTTGATTGAAATTCCATATCTGCTGACTACTTATGTCAATATTCTCCTTTAAATCCCTGAGCAAATTTAGAATACCTGTTTTAAAGTCTTGTCTGCTAATTTTAATGTGTCACCTTTGGGTTTGTTTCTATTGATTTTTTTCCTTCTGATTTTAGACCACATTTGCCTGCTTCTCGTAACATCTGGCAATTTTTTTATTGTGTTCAGGGCCTTTGAGCGAGCAAGCTACTGGTGCCAAATTTTGATGCTTACTTGAGTTCACTTCTGGCACCCAGTTAATTTACCGATGGAGCCATCTGAGTTTGCCGAGACTAACCTCACGCTACATTGATAACTCTAGTTCTAGGACCGTGTGGCCCTTCTTGCTTTCGCCTGAACACCTGAGGGATTCCACAAGTGCTCGCGCTCCGGCTGGCAGGACTCCAACATCTCGCTGTTCTTCCTGACCTCCAGCACCTCTGCTCCTCTCAGAGCCCTCCAGCTGCAATCCTGGGCCCCAGAGGCTCTCACCCCGCCCAGGCACAGCTTGGTCTTTAACCAAAGACTCCAGGATCGAAAGGACCCTCCAAGAATTTGAGAAGTTTCCTTCTCTGTTGTACTCCAGTCCCTAAATCCTCGCTCTCCTAACAGCCTTGAACCCAGTCTCCGTTTCCTCACACCACACAGACTGCTACTATCTGTTGGGCTACATTCTCCTGTGCCACAGTTTGGAAAGTGTCCCCAGCGAGGCTGGCGGGCTGAATCCACCACTTCCTTGCTTTCAAAGCCCACAGCCCTGTGCTCTGTTGTCCACCGCCTGAGAGCAGTGGCTTTTATATTTTGTCCAGTTTCGTAGTTTTTATGTTGGGAGGATTTCTTGTTTCATCAGGATCAGAACCAAAAGTCAGTTCAAGGGCTTTCATAAATATGGATCCTCAAGTTTGGGAAAGGAAACACTATTTTCATTTATTCTTTTGTATTTTTTAAATGTCACTGGAAACACTTCTACCGCTCTTCCTTTTTTCTCACATTTCCTCTTCTCTATATCCAGCTTCTTCTTTTTCTGATTATCCTTTCTCAGAGCGACTCAAAGTTTGCTTATATGCAAACTGAAATTCTGGCAACTACAGGAAAGTTTTATGTGCCAGTAAATCTGCATGCACTAAAATTCTACTTCAAGGAAGCAGAGAAGGTTGATGTATACAAGGCATACAAACAGTGAGGTTTGGAAAGCCAAGGTAAATGTAGCGTGCACAAAAATATGTTTGCTTTAATTTCCTCCCACATATGGCACCTGGAGCACAGTCTTATTCTATTTCAAAGGTGCTCTCAACACACCTGTATTTTTCTCCAACAAGACCAAAGAACCCCAATTCAAGCTTCCTCACTTCCCTGAAACTTCGGGTTCAAGTGAAGAGCAGGACTTCTGTGGTCTGTCCTATGACTTTAGTCACAATTAAAGCAAATCCCCACCTTCTATGACAATGCTTTCATGGTACAATAATCCTGACATTCTTAGTTAAGAACAGAACACATAGTACAAGACGAGTTTATCCTCCCAAGGCTGTGTAAACATCGTGTTGGAGCTTAGAGTGGAAGGGCCCTAGAGATCATCAAATTCAACTTCTTAACTTGCACGGCACTCAGATGAGGTCCACACTTTCTCAAAATTCACATACAGGCAGGCTGGTGGCTGTGTTTTCTGTCAGTGTAGGTTCTTTTATGCAAATGAAGGATTGTCTCTTCCAGTTCTTGTGTTTTATTAGGTGTGGATCATTTTCCCAACAAGTTCCATGTACTAGACGTCTCTGTAGAATGCCATAGTGAAACAGCCGTATTGATTTTGCTTTGACTACACTGATGCATTCTGTTTCTTAACGCTCTGTTTCTAAAAGGACCACGTTTTGAGTCTACTTATTTTTATGTGATAATGAATTCATGTATTTTATTTAAAAGGGGTTCACATTACTGCACGTCTTACCAGCTGAAAAAGCAGAACACTGCAGCCTGTTTTGATTGCATTTTACACACCTTCTCTTACATACCTGCATTTGTCTAGGTTTTTGGATGATTGGCTTACAACTAAAAGAAGAACATCACATACTGCTTCTATGAAAGCCCAGTTTACGTGGATCTAATAATTATCCACATAAGGTATCATCTATTTTCATGTCTTTGTCAAGAAATAATCTCCACTTGAATAAACATATTTGCTTCTTGACTACTTGTTATTTAAAATTTTGTAGAGTTCATACTTCCAAATTATGAATTAAAGAGGAATCACCTGTAAACTCTGAATGTTATAGCTGCCAACATATTTAAGGACTTAAGTCCACTAGTATTTATTAAGTGCTGTAAAAGGTCATGAAACAAAGAGCATGGTGTTGGGGCCAGCACTGTGGCGCAGTGGGTTAACGCCCTGGCCTGAAGCGCCAGCATCCCATATGGTTGCTGGTTCAAGAGCCAGCTGCTCTACTTCCGATCCAGCTCTCTGTTATGGCCTGGGAAGGCAGTAGAGGCTGGCCCAAGTCCTTGGGCCCCTGCACCCACAGGGGAGACCCAAAAGAAGCTTCTGGCTCCTGGTTTCGGATCAGCACAGCTCTGGCTGTTGTGGCCAACTGGGGAGTGAACTACCGGATAGAAGACCTCTCTCTCTCTCTCTCTCTCCGCCTTTCTGTGTAACTCTGACTTTCAAATAAACAAATAAATCTTTATAAAAAAGAGCATGGTGTTATTTCTGTTTCCATGGTCTCTCTAGCCAAGTTAGGCCGTTAAGATACAGATTCAAATGAACAGAGACATTGTGGATGAGAGAGGGAAGTCAGAGATTTTTCCATAGAAAAAGTTTGAGGGAGGAATGAGAAGAGCTAGAGAATTTGTGAAGTTAGAAGGAATATATTCAGAGCAAGAGTAGTAGAATCAACAGACACAGGGACAAGAGCAAGCAGGCTGTCTGAGTGCACTAAATTAGGTGAGAAATAAGAACCAATATCTGGGATTTCTTGAATTCTTGAACTGATAAACTGATAAACATGGATGGGGAGTAGCCACTATGTTGTTGTTTTTTGTTTTGTTTTGTTTTTGACAGGCAGAGTGGACAGTGAGAGAGAGAGACAGAGAGAAAGGTCTCTTCCTTTTGCTGTTGGTTCACCTCCCAAATGGCCCCTGCAGCCAGTGCACTGCACTGATCCAAAGGCAGGAGCCAAGTGCTTCTCCTGGTCTCCCATGCGGGTACAGGGCCCAAGCACTTGGGCCATCCTCCACTGCACTCCCTGGCCACACCAGAGAGCTGGACTGGAAGAGGGGCAACTGGGACAGAACTGGCGCCCCGACGGGGACTAGAACCCAGGGTGCCGGCGCCGCAGGCGGAGGATTAGCCAATTGAGCCATGGCGCCGGCTGGGGAGTAGCCACTTTGCAGAGGGGCCCAAACCTGGAGGAGCCTGAGAGCAGCGCTCCTGGTTGTGGGCATCTTCCTGAACTCTGCAGCAGCAGTGGGGATCCCCCAGGAACTTGTCAAGAATACAGTCTCAGGTCTCATCCCATACCTACTGAAGTGGTTCCCGTGAGATCAGAGCTCAGCACTCCCCAGAATCCAGAGGACTCTGATGTCTGCTGCTGTGAGAACCCCTGCTCCATCAGTGTAGGGTGGGAACAAGTGCCCGGAGTCGAATCCTGCTACCAGAGCGGTGAGCCCACTTCTCTATCCTGTACTTGCGTCTCTCCAGGTTCACTGGATGGAACACTGAGGACTACTTTTCTTTTACAGTCACTTAGGTTTGGGGGCACAACTCCTTGACCTCAGTTAATGATGTCAGTAGTTTCTTGACTGTTTACAGTGGGACGATGATGTCAACAACTTGTGTGGTTGGAAGCTAATCTAGAAAGATCCTGAACATGGGCCCAGCCCAGCTCATTGCCCAACCCTGATGACAGGCACATCAGGCACAAACAACCAGGGCCACATTACTCTTTTCACTGCAAGCTTGATACTCTATCTCAGTACTTGAGACACTCAACTTCTGTCACCCTGCCCTACAGTGACTCGTTCATCCTCCGGGACACGTGTGGGAACTGTTGCTCTTTCTCAGGAAGTGTCACTATTCCTCTAAGCTTCTTTGTTGTCACTATGAGACCAGGGACCTCAAATCAAATCAATTTGAACAAGGTAGGGATTAGCATCTATCAAGTAAGACCACGGAACGAATTCCTGCCTGCATGAATCCATTATGCCGCGGTCACACTGCTCACGTATTTATGTCCTGCCATTCATCAGGAACTTTCGAGCTCCTACTAATGTTTCTTTAAAAATGCCCGAATGGAAACACGATCCCCATTCCAACCTGAACTTGAGCCTGCAGATGAGGAGCAGCTTCCCTGCCTTCCAGAAGCAGCAGTTGTTAATGGAGATGGTCTACCAGCTCAGGTATGCATGAACATCTGTTAAAAGTACTTGGAGAGGATCGCATGAATTATAGATTAGGAAACATCGCCTTAGCCAAACAGGCGCTTTTATGGCTTCACGGTGAAGTTGCCCAGGGTTCTAGGTGGAATTTTCAAAGTCGCGAGTTAAACAGCGTGCTGCCGTGCGGGGCTGACTGCACAGAGCAGGTGTTCAGGAGGCACTCTCTGCCAATTTAAAAAGAGTGAGCCAGAACTGGGCTGGGCCTCGCCGCGGCGATTCCTGAGGCAGCCTCCAGGGGGAGGCTTTCCCCGTCAGAGGGAAGGGGCCACGTTCATGAGCATTCAGACGCTCTCAGGTGCAGACAGCAGGCGCGAAGAGCCCGAGCTGTGTCAAGCCTCAGGGTTGCACTTCCGCCCTTTGCTCTTCTGTGGGGTCACAGCTCTGCGTCACTCTTTACTCCACAGCCTGTCGCACGCTGCTGTGGGGTTGCAGGATCTTAGAGAGAATTCCTGATGAAACATTGTTGGAAAGCACGGTGACGCACGGCTCTCTGGGAGAGTGAGGGGCCAGAGCCGGTGGAACCATGACAGGTCAGCAGGGGCTTGGTTTTGCAAGTCCTGCTTCAATCTTTTCTCACTAAAGGCATCCTCCGCTCTGCACAGTCTATGGTGTCTGTGGGATTGAGCACAGCGAGCCCCACTAGGGGCGCCCAATGCCTCAACACAGTTCACCTTCCTGCAAAGTGAGCAGCTGCCAGGCCCAGTGCTGGAGGCCTCCTAGCCTCCTCCTCAGCCGTGTTCCTGGAAGGCCATCACTTGGAAGATGATGGCTGGACAGAGAACAGCACTGCCAATCCCCAGACGGAGGGATGAGGCAGGGGGTCGGGAAGGAGGAGAGGGGCTGAGAAGGGAGGAGGGGCCAGAGAAGCCTGGGGAAGAAGGGAGGGGAGAGAAGGGGAAGGAAGGGAGATGAGTGCAGGAGAGAGGAAAAGTGGGGAGGGGAGAGAAGGGGGAAAGAGGGGAGGGCCGCCTGCTTTCTGTAGGACTGGAGAGCTCCAGAGACAGTGGCCCACGGTGTTTCTGGGGGTTCCATGTGTGCCCGGGAAGAGTCACTTTGGGGTCACATTAGGAGATGCTGGTCCTAGGGCTTGGCTGTCTGAATCTTCCCAGCCTTCTGCGCCACCCTGCAACATTCATAACTTTTTGTTGCTTTAGCATCACAACCTGCTTTAGTCCAGTTCACCTCCTGGGAAACATCAACCGTCCACTCTGATGTCAGTACACGCCCAGGGGCAGCAGGAGGTAGGCCACAGAAGGTGGCTTTGGTAAACACTTCCTCCCTGTAGAATCACCCTTTATTACTGACAATTTTTAACTGTGAGAAGAGGAAAAAGAAAGGAACTTTTCCTCATTTAGAAAAAATGTTTCAGGCTGGGCTCTGGGAAGAGCAGGTACGCCTCCACTCGAGACAGCTGCATCCCACACTGGAGGCCTGGTTTTGAGTCACAGTTCTGCTGGTCCACTTCCATGCTGACATGCACACTGGGAGGCAGAGCGATGGCTCCAACACTTGAATCTCTCAATGCATGTGGGAGATCCAGACTAAGACCCCAGCTCCCAGCTCAGGCATGGCCCTGCCCTCATTGTTGTAAGCAGCTGGGGAATGAACTAGTGGATGGGACATCTCTGTCTGTCTGTCCATCTCCCTCTCCTTCTGTTTCTGCATTTCAGATAAGTAAAAAATGTAAAGAAAAGTTTCAGACTAATAATAGTGTCGACTAAGCTCTTACTATGGTCTAGGTACAAATGTAAGCATTTAAACAGTCTAATGCCATTTGAGGCTTATAGCAACCCAACAGAATAGGTGTTATTACTTATCCCTGTAGATGGAGATTAAATGACTCACCCAAAGTAATACCACCAGCAAGCTTGGAGCCAAAATTACGAACCCAGACATCTGACATGAGAGTCACACTTAAAATTAGCTATAACTGATGTCAGCTAAGTGATGGAACCGGAACTTGAATTTAGATTTTCAAATTCCAAATCCTATGTGTCTTCTATACTCTTATATGATTCTCAATATTTTTGGTCTCATGAACTCTTTATATTCTAATTTTTTGAAATTTTATTTATTTGAGAGAGGAAGAGGGAAAGAGAGGGAGGGAGGGGGAGAGAGCGAGAGTGAGAGAGAGCGCTTCCATGCTAGGTTCATTCCTCTCACATCTGCAATGGCCAGACTGGAGCAGGGCCAGTGTCAGGGTCCAGGAATGTAATCCAAGTCTCCCACATGGGTGGCAAACCTGATTACTTAAGCCATCACGGCTGCCTCCCACGGGCGCCCTGGCAGGAAGCTGGAGTTAAGAGCCAGAGTCGATGTATAATGTGGGCATCTTAATCACTAGGCTAAATGCCTGCCGCTATACCACAGCTACTGAAGTCTCTGAAGAATATTGTTTCTGTAAGTTTTATCTGTCATTGTTTACGGTACTGTAAACTAAAACAGAGGAATTTAGATGTTGGTTAACTCATTTAAAAGTAACAATAACACCCATTCTAAGGAATCATAAGTGGCATCTTCAGGAAAAGTAACTATTTCCAAAATAATAATAAAGTAACTGGGAACATAAAGGTTTCCATTTTCTAGTAAACGTAGCACTATCTGGTATAGGAAACCATACAGAAAAGCACAAAGAAAAGACAAAAACCAAAATCATGTGAAAATCCTACCTTCTAAGAGGAAGCCATGGGGCCGGCGCTGCAGCATAGCAGGTAAAGCCACCGCCTGTATTGCTGGCATTCCATACAGGCACCAGTTCCAGTCCCGGCTTCTTCACTTCCAATCCAGCTCTCTGCTATGGCTTGGGAAAGCAGCAGAAGATGGCCCAAGTCCTTGGGCCCTTGCACCCACGTGGGAGACCAGGAAAAAGTGCCTGGCTCCTGGCTCCGGATTGGCACAGCTCTGGCTGTTGTGGCCATCTGGAGAGTGAACCAGCGGATGGAAGACCTCTCTCTCTCTCTGTCTCTCCCTCTCTCTGTGTGTGTGACTCTGACTTTCAAGTGAATAAATAAATCTTAAAAAAAATAGGAAGCCACTGGGGCCTTTTTTTTTTTTTTTTTTTGTATATCGCTCAGCCTTCATGAAAGACTATGAAATGCACAGAGTTGTATCCAGACACTAAGACAGCAAACTTGAGTTGCAGCAATTTGATAGCAATACAATGCCTGTAAATTCAGAATGGGGTGTCTCACGGTTGTCCCATGAGCAGGAGGGGACCACAGAGTTCTAGACTTGATGGGAGAGCATGGAGCTCAGGGCACATTCAAGTTCATTAGAACTATGCAACGTACACCATTCAAATGACCTCGCCACATGGATGTCACTTCCTCTGCCAGGAGTCAAAGCTAGGCCATTCTAGTTCCACACAAAAAGCTGCCAGGAGAGCAGAGGCAGGTTCCATGTATAGCTCGGAGAGCCAGCTGTCCACAGCTGCCTGCTTTACACGGGTTGAGCGTATGGCCATTTCCTCTTGAACTCTGTGTTACAGAGAGATGGGGTTTGTGGAAGGTGAGGGGAAGCCAATCCGGCAACAACCAGCTGCCCAGTGGTAATCGCTGGCCAACAGTTTTGTGTTTTGTGATTCGCTGTGGCAGGACAGCCCCAGTATCCCAAGAAACCATGTGATGCCTGCCTTTTACTTAGGCCCACGCACACACACTGGCGAGCTATTGCATAGCTCTTTCTAGGGAGGTGTTGGGGCCAGTGGCCTGTGGCCGCTCATGCTCCGGCTCTCCTCAGCCTTTGCAGACTTTGTAGGGATCTAGAACTTACTGCACGCCAGGGCAAAGTGGTCAGTGACAGGCTGACAGAAGCCTGTGGTTACAACAAGGAAGCCAGTGAAGATATAGAGTGTGTGGCCAGAGGCAAACAGTGGGGGCATGGTGTCAGCCCTTGTTGGAAACGGTCGGATACCGTCAGCTGTCCAGCAGTGGCAACCTCGCAGTGCCCGGCAGCTCTACAGACCAGTGACCAGCCAGGCACTATCCTGGGGACTCGCTGCATGAAAAGCCAATGGGAAGTCTGCGGTAGCAAGCACTGAGCTGCTAGACTGGGTGGCCCGAAAAGGAATGTCGGATGACAAGTGACAAATCTAACACGTTTCCTCCCGACTCTGAATCCCAGCGAGTGCTCCTAAATACTTAAAGCAGTTGCCGAAGGTGGCTTATTCTCTCGCAGAAACTCATTCCTCCTAATATTGCTTTCTGTTTTCTCTAAATGGTGACAAATGTAAGGTTTTAGTTTACGAAGAGAACGTACAGTCTTACTCCATCTAAGACTTCAGGCACAGAACACCTGCTCTTGCTACCAGGGAGATGTCTCCCTTCAGCTGTCGGCTGTCGGCCGCCTCTCGTAGACTGGTCTGAGTTGGACAGGAATGGTTTTGAGGGAATGCTATCCATAGGATACGGACTCAAAATTACATGTTCACAGCAGGGAGAACAGAGGCAGGAACCCACGTGGACGTCAGACCAGCTCCCGATTCTCGTGCCCATGCCGTGTGTCTCGTTTCCTTGCCCTCGTTTCGCATTTCAGCACAAGCAGCTCCTTGCCATCCCTGTGTTTATTTGACCAGTGTCAACTAAGAATGCCACGGGGTGATTTGTGGTGGGAGAGATGTGTTCACTGGGCCCGGCCTGCTATCCAATACCGGCCATGTAAACCTCTTCCTGCAGGGTTAAAAAGGAGCCGAGCCTTTCGGAAAGTTTACCTTTTGTTTTCTGAGGACTTCCAATTTCTTGGTTGCAGCTGGCTGTGCTCTCAGAGCAGATGAGATTCCCTGGGAAAGAAAAGATCTGCGGACATCCAGCCCGGCTGGGCGCAGGGAGCGCTGGGGCCTTCCCGGGGCAGCCACCTCTCCGGCCTGGCTCCAAGGACGGCAGAATCCCTGGGCTGCTGAGATTCTCCAGGGATACCTTCATCCAACAAAACAAAACCTTTCAGTTCCTTTATGCAAAGGAACTTCAAAAAGTTAGCAAAACATTGAATTACAGTTTATTTTGGTGCAAAAAAATTTGAAACCCGTGCACGAGTTGATTTCAAGAAGCTCACTGGGGGCCGGCGCCGCGGCTCACTAGGCTAATCCTCCGCCTTGCGGCGCCGGCACACCGGGTTCTAGTCCTGGTCGGGGCGCCGGATTCTGTCCCGGTTGTCCCTCTTCCAGGCCAGCTCTCTGCTGTGGCCAGGGAGTGCAGTGGAGGATGGCCCAGGTGCTTGGGCCCTGCACCCCATGGGAGACCAGGAGAAGTACCTGGCTCCTGCCATCCGATCAGCGCGGTGTTCCGGCCGCAGCGCGCCGGCCGTGGCAGCCATTGGAGGGTGAACCAACGGCAAAGGAAGACCTTTCTCTCTGTCTCTCTCTCTCACTGTCCACTCTGCCTGTCAAAAAAAAAAAGAAGCTCACTGGGTTGCTCTTGCATTTGATGCCATCAGCCATGTGTGCTTTGGCATGTGTTTGCTGAGTGCCTACCTCATAGCAGACACTGTGCACATTTGCCAACTGTTTCCTCGGAAGACATTTTCCAGGCAACATGGGCTGTTGACGGTTAGCTGAAAGCCGTGCCTCTCTCTGAAGCGCCTCTTGGCTTACAATTAGATCTTCTTGGGAGAAGACCTTCCCTAGCTAACCAATGCCCTGTGTTTACGGAGAAGGGACAAAGTTCTTAGCGCGCGTTCCAAATAAAAACGAGAGCTGAAGGGGTCTGTGAGGAACCTAGCTTCCGTGTTGATGTTGCTCTCGGCGCCTGGGAAGGAGTCCTGACTGGCAAGCAGGAGCCTTCCCCAAAAGTGAAAGAAGCAGTTAGACAGTGGGGAGGGGCAGGGACAGGTCCTGCTGCCTTGGCTTCCTGGGTGGCATCTGGAACAATGGCGGCAGGGAACTGCCACTACTGCACATCTCTCCCCCTGAGCAACGGCCTCCACATCTGTTCCAGGCCTCTAATTACAAAAGGGAAAAATAGCCATTTTGCAATGGCATCATAAAAAAGAGAAAATAGAAGTGATTTAAGAGCAGTTCTGTGTTAGGCTGTTCCTGGGTTACACACACCAAGAAGAGAGAAACTGCTCTCTCCCCGGGCTGAGAGAGGTCCCTCACCACTGCTGGTTCTGCCTTGGCCTGAGTGTGCGTGGGAGAATTTCCACAGTCGCCGAGGAGGAGGAGCCAGGCCCCCCAAAATGGGACAGCCTCCATCTGCCCTGACAGGAAGAGGTCTGCCGCCGCAGTCACTGCTCACTGATCCATGACAATCGGTCGCCGTGACTTCTAGAATATTTGACTTTCTTGGGGAAAAACGTGATATGGACATGGTACTATGAGTCTACCTAGGAATTAAATTATTTTCTTTTCAACTGTGCCAGTGATCCAGGGGTGAGGGTGATCAGGTTTAGGACATGCTACCCCAAACTGTGGCACACTGAACACTTCAAGCTGAAGGAACCCGAGTGGATGACACAAACGGGAAGGTCATTCTCACCCTCGCCTGCCCTGCTTCCTCTAACCGGATGTTCAGCCCTGATGTGACAGGGAAGGAACATGCTTATTTCTGAAGATGCAGGGTCAGAGGGAGCAATACGATCAAACCAACCTTGCCAAGTTCCCCCGCCTCCTGACCGCTCACGCCCATCCCTTTGTCCGCTCAGACTTCTTGTGACTATCCGCTCTTCGTCAAGACTAGATACAAGACACACAGCTTTACCTGCTTTGTGTAACAACGGCCCCAGGGTTGAGTAAACCGTATTAAGTAAATGCGTTCACTTTTCTCTTGTTCATCTGTCTTTTGTCACTGTGGCCTCAGCCTTGAATCCAAGATGGGCAAGGAAAAGATCTTTCTCTTCTCCTATAAGGGTGTATCCCGAATTTTCTTAAAAAGAAGATGTATGAAAATATACAAATCCTCCGCCCGCAGCGCCAGCACATTGGGTTCTAGTCCCGGTCGGGGCGCCGGTTTCCGTCCCAGTTGCCCCTCTTCCAGGCCAGCTCTCTGCTGTGGCCAGGGAGTGCAGTGGAGGATGGCCCAAGTGCTTGGGCCCTGCACCCGCATGGGAGACCAGGAGAAGCACCTGGCTCCTGGCTTCAGATCAGCGCGGTGTGCTGGCCGCAGCACGCTGGCTGCGGCGGCCATTGGAGGGTGAACCAACGGAAAAGGAAGACCTTTCTCTCTCTCTCTCTCACTGTTCACTCTGCCTGTCAAAAAAGAAAAAAGAAAAAAAATATACACAAAGCCTTAGAATTTCCTTCTCCTGCCCTCCTCCTCCTCCCCCTCCCCTTCCCCACCCTACCTGTGCTTGCTACCCTAATTGCAGAGCACCTTAAAAATCATCTGTAGCAGCAGCAGCAGCATGCGATAGAGGACCGGGCACACAGCGTGAAGCTAGGGACTTCTAGGTCCCTGCTGTGCTGGGCCACGCGGAAGCCATGCACACCAGAACAGGTAACCACTTTCCTGAGCCTCATGTCTCTTGGGTGTGGGTAAGGCTGAGTGGGACTTGCTTTGCCTCCCTAGTGACTGTAGCCATCACGTGGATCCAGACTGGGTGGGGCTTGGTAGACCAGAAAGCACCTGTAGGAGGATGTGTACTGGGATCCACACTTCTGTCCCAGAGGTGAGGAAATGAGGCCAGGAACCTGCAGTGCTAAGGTGAGAGACTGACCTTGCATTTGACCCCAGCATTCACCCATTCAGCCAGGGGTAGATGGCACTTGTTGGCATTCAGTACCATGCTTCTCACTGGAGAAGGTGGATGGGCAGAGGGAGGACAGGCTGCAATGGTGGCCACACAGAGAAGGCAGACTCTTTGCCCTGGCAGAGCTCGTGGGTCTTGTTGCACCTCCCTAGGGAGTAGAAAGGCAGCTTCCCACTGTGAACACTGCCAGGGACTTACTGAAACCTTGCGGAAATCCCTTGGTTTCTCTGGGCTTCAGCTTATCCCCTCACCATAAAGTAAAAAGGTACAGAATGATATGTAGGAGTTCTTAAAACTCTAAAATCCTCTTGTGAAAATATTACTGAATTTCACTGGGACAATAGCCTTTATTTGTTGTAGACCGGAAACGCTCATTTTCTCTAGGGATTCTTTGGTTGGCTGCTTTAAGCATATTTGTCATTTCTGTCTTTGATGATGACATACATGTAATAAGGAAGATAATACATAAAAGTTCTTTCTGAAAAAAAAAATCATCCACAATTGATGTAAATGAACTCTAAATAAGCCTTTAGTAGGTTATTTGGAGAAAGGAAAGTAATTTATTTTTTAGGACAAACCCTGTTTAGAATAATTTTAGTGCAACTTTGAGGTGTTAAGTTCTTCCTAGTTGTTTTGCCGATAATTTCCATGCCGGAGCCGGGAGGAGAGGAGCAGGAAGGTCAGGTTCACTTTGGCTAAGGGGATGTGGTCCTCAGACCACTATCGTGGTGATGACTGGTGGGGGAGCTTGTTCAGCAATCTTGGATTATCTGATGTGAGGGGAAACGACACGAGTCAACCACTAGCCTAAGCTGACATTTTTTTTAAAGAATTACTTTATTTATTTGAAAGTCAGAATTACATACAGAGAGAAGGAGAGGCAGAGAGAGAGAGAGAGAGGTCTTCCATTCTTCTGGTTCACTCCCCAAATGACCGCAGCAGCCAGAGCTGGGCTGATCTGAAGCCAGGAGCTTCTTCCTGGCCTCCCACGCGGGTGCAGGGGCCTAAGGACTTGGGCCATTTTCTACTGCTTTCCCAGGCCATAGCAGAGAGCTGGACTGGAAGAGGAGCAGCTGGGACTTGAACCGGCATCCATATGGGATGCCGGCACTGCAAGCTGGGGCTTTAACCCACTGAGCCACAGCATCAGCCTCATGCTGACATTTATTTTAAAAGCTGTTCTTGCATACTGAGAGGACAGCAAAGTGGGAATCCCTTAGTGTGCGTTATACCACTGGCCCTGGGCTCGCGTGCGCTTGCCTGGGCTTGTGTGGGAGGTTTGGACCTCCCTCACCAGGCACACCCAGGCACATTGGCCGAGTTTTCCTGAGGCATGCAGAATCCCTGAGACCACCGGTGTGCTAGAGAACATTCAGAGCAGAAGCAAGCTCAGCACAAATGGAAAAGAAATCAGACACCACGAGTCAAGGTGTAAGGAGAGGCGGCAACGTTCCCACGTTCATCTGGCGTTCTTAGAGTTTCAAAACCTGTCAGAAACAGAGGGTGGGCACTGTGGTGCAGCAGGTCAGCCTACAGCTTAGGATGCCCCGATCCCAAGCCCGAGTGCCTGGGGTCGGGTCCTACCTCTGCCCACCAAGCCAGCTGCCTGCTATGCACCTGGGAGGCAGCGGATGATGGTACAGGTACTCGAGTCCCTGCCACCCACGTGGGAGACCCGGATGATTCCTGGATTCAACCTGGCCTAGCCTGAGCTGTTGCTTTTTGGGGAGTGAGCCAGCAGATGGAAGATTCTCTCTCTCTCTCTCCATACACACACACACACATACACACACACACCTTCACCTTTCAAATAAGTGAAGTTAACAAATAAACATTTAAAAACATTTTACAGAAACAGAATAAGAATATAGCAAAAGAAAATAAAACAGAAATACCAGAGAATCTTCCTCAAAAGGAAAAACATGTGAGCCACTCACTCCCATAGAGAAAAGATGGAGAAATTTCAGAAAACCAGAAGGCATCTTGCTTCTCATTTCTATGTATGAGTCAAAGTAGGCCCCCATTTTTACCTGTTGTTTTCAGTGGAAAAATCAGTTTTCAAATCGCATTCACAGATTACTTTGTTGAATAGTTGTGGTTTTGTCTGATTCAATCAGAAAAGAGTTCTTATTGATGGCTGCCCTATAAAAACATTTTTTTTTTCCATTGAACAGTTTTTGGAATTGTGATCAAGTGGTTCTTTGGAGCAGTCCATGCGTTTTGATGTTCGTAT